GGTCAGAGAAAAAGAGGAAGACCCCCAACGAGATGGACTGGCCAAGTGGCAATAGTCATGGCCTCAAGCGTAGCAATGATTGTGAGGCTAGCCCAGAACCAAGCAGTGTTTCATTTTAGTGTGCAGTGCCACTATGAGTCAGCACCTACTCGATGGCACCTAACAACAACAACAATAATGTAAGTTTAAAAGGTAGACTCTGCCCAAGTGGTGTGGTGCTGTACGATAAGCACTGGACCACAAGGTCAGTTTGTATCACAAGGTCAGCTGTTGAAACTCACCAGCCACTTTTCGGAAATCCGATACAGAGTCACTACGAGTCAGAACCAACTCAATGGCACTAAACAACAACAAATAAGAATCATTAAACAGCATTGAGATGCTATTGGCATGAACCTGATAATAACCAGATAGTCTTCTCCATTTATGTCCCAAACCTTCACTCAACTTTCTCTTATTACATCTTAAGTATTGTGCTTATATGAGTCCCAGTTTGAATAAATTTGTCATCTTCTAATGCTTCCTTTTCCATGATCTATGGCTACTTGAGAGTCCTCAGCCTCCCCTGCCTGTAACTCAGAGAGGCCCAAGAGCCACAGGACTCTGTTCAGCAACAAGGGGCAGCCTAGAAAAATCTGCTCCATTCTCACATTTATCATTTCTTGTGACTAGAGCCTTTACCTCCTGACAATTAACCATGCAGAGCTTGTCAAACCTGTAATGATTTTTTTTTAACTTTTTTATTGCGAATGGAGTGAAGGTTTACAGAGCAGATCATCAGTTTTGTAGTCAACAAATCATCTATTTTGCTGCATTACAATGACTACAATCCCCTCCATGTACCAACAGTTACCAGTATTTACCTCTATTCACTTTAACTATTGTATTCATCTCTGTGTCTCCTGCTACCTTCATCTTTTCTCTGATAAACTCCCTCTTGCTGTATATTGCTTGCCCTGTTAACATGTGTCTACTCTCTAATCCATGAATAATTACATAATCCCCCCTACTCTATAACCATCATAGATTGTTTCTTTCTTTTTTTTTTTTTTCAATGTTTTATTGTGAATTATGTGATAGTTTACATGGAGAAGATTACCTTTACATTCATCCTACCGTATATCGTTTCATTGCCATGGTTACAATCCCCTCCGTGCATCATCAACCAACCAAAGGGTGCAAGCCTGCCCTCTGGTCATCAGAACACAGCCCCTCTCCCTCTTTGGGTCTAAAGTCCCCAGCTGCTCCATCTCTCCACGTCATCGTCTCTGCCTCCATCGCTGGCATCACTAGGTAGGGTCCCGCTCTCCACTCTTCTCCCTTGATGGTCCCAGGGACCTCTGCTCCTAGACTTCAAAGTCAATCACTCCCCTCCTTTTGCTACAAAATAGTCTGCCTTTACATTCTTAACCCTCACAGTTAGTCCTGATAACAATTATCACAAGAGACCTATCCACATCTCCTTTCATCAGCCCTCCCCAG